ATTAGCTCCATCTCTGTTAATGTCTTTTACAGGGGAGTGAGTGAGCGAGGAAGGAAGGAAGGAAGGAAGGAAGGAGGGAGGGAGGGAAGGAAGTAAAAGGATTGGTTTCTGAGCAGGATTTCCAGTAATCCCAGTAGAGGTCTAGATGGATGGATGGAGGGAGGGAGGGAGGGAGGGATGAAGGAAGGGAGGATGGATAGATCCTGGGCATCCCACCAACAGCTTTCTCCTGCACAATTCCCACAAGGAATAACAGTCCTTGAAGTAGTGATGGTCCCAATCTCGGTCTACACCAACCGTATCAAGCCAAGGTAGTGCTCTTGCATTCCAAAAGCCAGTGCCTGGTTCTAGGTCTGCTTCAGCCAACAGTCTAGGAAGAGCACCCCTCCGTGTCGAAGAGCTAGAGAAGGGTTATCGCATGCCCACATCCTCCTGTTCGCACCTGCACTTACAAATATTGGCGGAAAGTTCACATGGGCCTCGCTGTCGCCCGCAGAGCTCCAGACTATATGCCTACGGGCACCAGGAAATCTCTTTGCAGGAAGATTTTGGGCCACTGTCTCCTTTCTGTTCCTTTTCTCGGGGGTCTGAGGGACTCACCCTCAATCTTTTCACCGCTGAAATCCCAGCCTTATCCCCGCCTGCAGCCATCGGAGTTCAAGGCCGGGAAGCTTAAAGTGTGACCGTTCCGCTGTGACTCGCCACCAAGCGGAACAGATCCATCAAGCGACTTACTAGTCTCGGAGAAAGCACGGGCTCCCAATTCAGGTAATCTGGGAGCGTGGCAATTGTCAGCCGTAACCCTGGATTAATCTTCTTTTCACTGAATGCAGAACATTTTCCCTTTTGGAGCCTTAGAAGATGAGGTCTCCCAGGAGAGGTGTACATAAGGGGAGTCAAAATAAATCTGCCTCTCTCTCTCGTTTGTGTGTTTCTAATTTTCGGGCACCCAAATATTAATCTTCTTTGGCTCGAGAGAAACAGAATCGATCTGAGAGGCAAAACTTTATGCGGGCTGTGGACAAAAAAAAAATCCCTGCAAGGTGGACTGGTTTTTATTTATTTTATCAGTATTTATTCCGATTTAAATAACTCTGTAAATAACTCCCATCACAAACGTATTTTCTCAGAAATGAAAGTTAACAGATAATTAGGGGCCAGACGAAGGAAAAAGAAGCTGTTGTGTTTTTGTTTTTGTTTTTTTTTTTTTTTAAAAAAAGGAAAGAAATGAAAAGGTCATTTATGGTCCCACCAGGGTCTTTCATACCACCTTTTGGCTTCAAAAGTCTGATACTGAGCTTTGATTCTCTGGGAGGCCCCAAGGTCAGATTCCAAAAAGCACCCCTTGCGTGGATTATCTGCTTCCAAACACATCTGAAACCAGATGCTCTTCCCAGGTAGGTATAGGAGAACAGGCAGAGCTGGGGGCGGTGTTAAACTTGCCATAAGCTTAGAGTGCTTACGTTGCCACAAATGCTCCAAGCCCAGCCCCTTCAGAATTCCATTGACTCTTATCTAGCACCAATTCAGTGAACAGTGAGTTGACTAGATTCTTGTGTACAGCCTTGAGCAATACATCTTAACTGCAGCTTAATGCATGGTTCTGATTCTTCACACTCGACATGATGCCTCCAATGTTGGCCTTGGCCAATTTTCCAAGAATTGGAGCCCTACCAAGCACGGCTGGGAAAAACGGAGAAGACTCAATCCCCATCTTTTCCTACTTTTATGGGTTCTTTACCCCTCTTGTCCACTCGGCTCAGAAAATAGAAACAGGCTTTAGAAGAAAAGTTGGCATTTCTGGAAGACACCCAGGAAAGCAAATAGTCTTCTGAAGCTCCAATCTACCACAGCCATTAATAAGCCCCCCCCCCTTAACCTCAACCACCACCAGGAACCTGAGCAAACAGGATTTATTGTCTTCGCTGGAGTGTTACATGCGCACAACTCCGAAAAGGTCACGGAGGCTAAACTGAGTAAACGATGGCTTCGCCTCTATTACTCATGAAATGAATCTTGAGCTCAGCTTTTCACCTGAATAATAACCGAGAAAACAAGCATTTCTAGATCCACTTTCTGGGTGTCGGTTTCCCTCTTGCTTTCTCGCCAAAGAAAACGGCCCTCATTATGTTTACCTTTGTAAACTTTGCAAGTAAATTCCAAGAACAAACAACTTCTCCTTGGAAGGCAACAATTTTGTGTCTCGGGACTCGTTTTCCTTAAAGAGATGCTGCAAAAAGATGATATTACAAGCTTTCTCTCTCTCTCTCTCCCCAAACATCCCCGATCAAAATGGTTTTGTCTTTGCCTAATTCCGGCAGCCAATTTCCATTTGCTTAATATAGTCATGATATTTCACCGAGGTAATTATACCCTTAGCTATCAGTAACAATTAAACTCTTAGACTTGGAGTTGTTTAATAAAGGTCTCCTGGAAATATATATATATATATATGTGTATTTATATTGCACATTCTGAACAGGAGGCTTTTAAATGTCAAGGAGGCAAGTACTGTTTTCGGATGAATATAATGATGAAACATATCATCCAGCAGCCTAACTTATTCCTCTTCAAGAGAAAGTGACAGGGATATTACATCTGAAGTGTGAAGGAAGCCTCATCATAGCTTTAATAAAAAAGGTATTAGCAAGAATGGGAGACTGCAGAAGAAGGAGAAGGAGAAGAAGAAGAAAAAGACATTGAACAACGAACGTTGGTACTGGTGCATTTTAGGGAAATAATCTCATTTGCAACGAAATAGACTCCCTCTGCATTGTTCTGTCCTGCTCTCCTGAACAGACAGAAGCAGGGCAAAGTCGAATAAGGCACAAAAAGCAGCAAAGAATGGTTGCTGGGTTGCTTGCATTTAAAAAGAAAAGGGTTCTAGTCCTCATGATCACAGAGAAGAGCCTAGGGATGAGAATGTGAGTGAATGAGGCTGCTATCTCAGTCCTACTTCTTGTGAATGGCTCTCAGGGTGACATGGTAGCAGTCTTCCAATATTGGAGGAGGAGGAGGGGGAGGAGGAGGAGGAGGAGGAGGAGAGGAGGAGGAAGAAGAAGAAGAAGAAGAAGAAGAAGAAGAAGAAGAAGAAGAAGAAGAAGAAGAAGAAGAAGAAGAAGAAGAAGAAGAAGAGAATAGTAGTAGTAGTAGTAGTAGTAGTAGTAGTAGTAGTAGTAGTAGTAGTTGGAAGGTACCTTGGAGGTCATCTAGTCCAACCCCCTGCTCAGGCAGGAACCCCTATACCATTTCAGACACATGGTTGTCCAGTCTCTTTATAAAAACTTCCAGTGTTGGAGCATTCACCGCTTCTGGAGGCAGGTTGTTCCACTGGTTAATTGTTCTCAGGAAATTTCTCCTTAATTCAGGTTGCTTCTCTCCTTGATTAGTTTCCATCCATTGTTTCTTGTCCTGCCTTCAAGCGCTTTGGAAAATAGCTTGACCCTCCAGTCTAAGTTGTGGGGTGCTCCTTTTTGCCTTATTCTAGCCACAAACCGAGTTTGTAGCCAAACGTGATTAAGAAAGCATTTCAGCAAGCCGTTTCAGAATCCGTTTCAGCTATCCTGACAGGTGATTTTTCACCTTCCAACACAGAAATGACTACGGAGTCTATGCAGAGAGGAAAAAAATTGACCCGTTTCCTTTGCTGGCCCCATCGTCTGAATTAGCGGCCGTTTTATCTTCCGAGGTTGTTTTCGTCTCTAAGCAGAGGAAGGATAATTCATACAACTAGTGACAGCCGAGATGATGCCTTGTGGATAAGCGACCCACAAATTAGCGGCCAGCGATGGCCGAATCAATACACACATGATGCTGGAACGGCAACGCCGATTGTGTCATGTTTAATTCCAGGCCACAGCGCAAACATGCCGCAAAAATTGGCCTGGGTACAATAAAAAGCCATTTACTGTCTTTCTGAGTTATGACAACCCAGCCCTGAAAGCTCAAGAGACGTTAAAGGTAATCATCAAAAGCGATTCTATCAGAACTGGGCATTTCCCTGATGATATACAATATATATTTTAAAAAAAAGAGAGAGAGTGAGAGAGACTATTATGGGGAGCCATAACAGTCAAAAGGAAATATCCTAAAATGTTAACTGGCTCGGCTTCCTGGAAAGTGAGAAGCTGCTGACAGCTCTGTTCTACAGCTAGTCCTCAACGTCCAACAGTTCATTTAGTGTCCGTTCAAAGTTACGACGGCACTGAAAAAGGTAACCTGTGACCATTTTTCACAGTTACGACCTCAGCAACGTCCCCACCACGATCACGTGAACAAGATTCAGGCAATCCAGCTGATTAGATGCCTCACCAATCCCCGGATGATCACTTTGGACAAGAAAATGGAATTCCAACTCATCCTAGTTGCCGAAGCTGAAGAAAACACTGATTCGTTGTGGTTTTTAAAAAAATTGTTGATAAGCTACATCTCTAAAAATGCCCAAGGCTTTTTCCATTCTAAGCAAGCTGCTTTCCCCTGTCTCTTCTCTCCTCTCTTTACAGCTCCTACTGCTCCTGCCCTAGGAGATGCTAATTAGATCGTTAAATATCACTCTCGGTTCTAAAGCTTCCAGGGCAAAGTTATGATTTTTTAACAGGTAATATATTTGCTCGGTTTAATATGAAATTACGTGATCGTCTTCGTTTAACTAAAACAAAACTTTTTTTGTCCTGGGTTAGGGGAAAGCTTCAACGAGACAACCGTGTTCGACTGTCTTTATGTTTTCAGCTCTTCCTGGGAAAAAAATTCAGACGCAATTTCAGAAATAAGCAAGTCATCCTGAGGCGGATCTACCCCTAAGTGGCAAAGTGAAACACAGGCACACAGAGATGTTAGGACACACAATAAGAGATGGTTGGATGGCTAACGTTCCTGTTTCCAGGTTTGGGACACCTGGCAGATAAGAAACCTCAATTTCACTAGTTTTGTGGGTTTCCCACCAAGAGAAGGACAGGACAAGCATCACATCCTGGTTTTCTCCAGCGAGGGAGGAGACCTACCTTGATGAGAAGTTGCATGTGTTTCTGAAGACACTTGAGCATGGCTTCTTGCTGCTCGCGCTTCTTCTTCTCTTCCAGGAGCTGGCTCTGAACCTTCAGCAACTCTTCTTGCAGTTGTTTCCGTGCATTCTCCAGCAGCCTGGCGCTAAAGAAGGGAAGGGGGGGAAATTGAAGAAGGAAAAGCAGAGTTATTTTCTGCCCGGAGGACAGGAGAAAAGCACCCGGAAGTGGAAAATAATTGGGATTTGTTCCCAAGGCCCAAAGTCTTCCTTGCTTGGAAATAAAGCAGCGGTTGATTCTCACGGATGGCCGCTAAAACTTTTGTGTTTGCATGTTGACCTAGGTGTAAGGTGGGTTTTGTGGAACTGTAATGGAGCCCCTGGTGCTAGGGCTGAAACATTTCACCTCAGGGAGACACAGAATAGTTAAAAGAAAAGCATCTACTAGGATTTCAAAATTATTTGGGGAGGCACACAAAATAACAGGGAACCGTTGAATGACAACACACTTCAGACCTTCTAGAACGGCCATTTTATCTCTTATATTGTATTGTCTACATACCTTTTGTATATAAGTATATTAATATTTATATATATTCAAGTCAAGTCAAGTCAAGTCAATGTTTATTACTGTCAAAGACCAGAGCAAGTTAAAAACACTCAAGGAATATCTAGTTAAAAATTCTAGAATAAAATAATGAATAATAAATAAAATCTGTATTAAAATCACAATTTGGCATCCAATCTGTCAGTTGTACATGAACAAAACATAGCATGGCCTAGCTATAATACATATCCGTCCGTCCATCCATCCATCCATCCATCCATCCATCCATCCATCCATCCATCTACATAGTAAAATAAATAAATGCAAGGTGAATGCTTACACGGTTCCCTTACATGCAGATACCCAGATAGCATACCTGAAAAACTCTCTTTCCACTTGTCAAGTTTCTCTTTTTTTCCGTGATCAGAGGTCTCTAAAAGCTCTCTCAGCTACTAGTCCCTCCCATCCTTCCCCCTCTGCTCACTGCTCCTTACAAGTACCTTAAAACTGTCAATGAATTAAGGGGGTCTATGAAAGCACCAGCTCAATTTGAAGCTGCTCATATACCAATTTAATAGTCTGTAAAATAGATTCTTTCCACTGTTGCAGTCAGGTGGGGAGCCTGTCCACGAAAGCTATAAATCCACTGTGAAAAATGACTAATTCAATAACCGCAACACTACCAGGCCTCTGTCCCCCTCCCTTTCCCCCCTATGTTAATTAATTAGTTACACGGAGAATGGAACCTTTGCCACCGAGTAGCATGTAAGGCTGGCATTGGGCTATTATGAAAGGCAGGATTTCAACCATGTGGCGTCTCCGAAAGGGAGGAGGTCTGTTCCCTTTCAACTTCCCCTGCAAAGATTTCAGAACACAGATGAAAGAACCCAATTTTATGCATGATTCTTCTTTGATAAACTAGCTGGGAAAAGAGAGAGAGAGAGAGAGAGAGAGAGAGTGCGGTAGACACAAAATTGGATTTGCAGGGAATTTTCGTCCTGACGCTGAACAGGATTAGTGGAGGATCCTGCACTGGCAGCAGCCCCAACAGCGAAGCAAGCGCCAGTATAAGTCTTATTGTGGTCTTGCCATCCTGCTGAAAGTTTTAGCATTGCTCGTCATTCTTTTCAACAACGGGAATGTTTAAAACTTTTAAAAAATGAAAGGGTTTCATAGCTTGGATCTTCAAAAGCCTGGATTAGGCCACACAGCTCTTAACTAACAGACTGGGCCAAATATTGTTTTGAAAGGGGGAACTTTTCCAAGCTCCCACACAAATCTCAGAGGGATTTTTTAAAGATAAACACAAGACAGGTCGTCCTTGACACACAGCAATTTATTTACTGACCGCTCAAAGTTACAACGGTAGTGAAAAAAGTGTCATATGACCGTTTTTCCACACAGACGGCCGCTGCAGCGTCCCAACGGTCACGTGATCAAAATCCACACGCTTGGCAACTGGTTCACATTTATGACGGTCGCAGTGTCCCAGGGTCACATGATCCCTTTTGCGACCTTCTGACAAGCAAAGTCGACTGTGAAGTCAGATTCACTTAACAGCTGCAATGATCCGCAGGGATCAACAGGGGCAAGAAAAATCGTAAAACGGAGCAAAACTTACTTCACCCGTGTCTCACTTAGCAACATAAATGTTGGGCTCAGTGGTGGCCGTACGTCAAGGACTACCTGCGGAGAGCACCATCCAACGCTTGCTTCAAGGGGACAGCAGAGCTGGAAGGCTACGGAGAGGGCCAGGGGAGGGGGGAGATAAGGAACTTTCTCTCTTTTTTATTATTTATTTATTAAATTTATATGCTGCCCATCTCATTTTCAAGTGGCCCCTGGATGCCTCACAACATGGTCAAAGCAACTGCGAAGCGTGAACACATCGAAGGTTAAAATAAGCAGAGATTCAATAAGTTAAAAACCAAGCTACTGAAGGGGCTGAAGTGGGGAAACTTCTATTTTTGATCAAATAAATGTTCTGTGAATGACTTTAGCCCTTCACTGCAACTGTAATGGAAAGACCCAGCACGTTCGTGGCGTGAGTTTTGGTCTCCGGTCCCCTAATGTGGACTAAAAACTCCCCAAACGATGGGGGCAATCTAGAATTCTATGCTCTTTGATTCAACCATTAGAGCGTTGGCTATAAAAGCTCAAACCAGGATGTCAACAGCTACAGAAGAAACCTATTCACTGGCTGGATAAATGTCCCACTCATTAAAGGCCACACGATCCAACCCTTTTTGATTTGGTGTTTTTGGTGTTTCTTTTTTTCAAAACTCATAAAAAATTAAACCCTACATCTGATAGCTCAGTTGAACTCTGGCCTTGCTGACATTTTCAGAAGTCTTTGCAAGTTCAAAGTATATTTTCCTGGCCTTAAAAAACAAAAGGGGGAGAAAAGACCATTCCTGTTTATCGGTTCAATAGTGTCCTTGGATGCTGTAAATCTAACGATTTGAATCTAGTGGAAGGAACTTTGTGTTTTAAGTCGCTGGGAAATGTCTTGCAGTCCTTATTCCCCCCCCCCCCCTTCTGCAGAATAATTTTGATGATAAAACTCCATTAAAAAAAATGTTGTTAGCCCTGCCAAGTAGGAGAGAACACAATGAATACAGATGCATTTTAATAGCTTCTTTCTCAAAAACTGCTCCAGGATATTCAAAATTTCATTTATCTTCGACAGGATTTCTTTTAGGAAGTAATTCGAGCACCCTGCAGATTGGATTAAAAGTCTGCTCCTGCTTTTAACTACATTGTTGGAAGATGACAGAAACATTGAATAGGGTGTTTGAGGGGATGGATGCTGGAGTTCAGCTGGCTTCATGCCGGGATAAAATGCCTCATAAAATGCCAAGGAAGATAAGCAAACTGTCCAGAAACTACTGCTGAGACAAGAACTTCTCATGAGGTCACCCCCGTGAGATGCCATCAAATGAAGCTAAAACACAGAAGTGGAGGAGACATTCCTGGCCAATAGAACGGTGTCCAGTTCTTTTCCCAACCAAGAGAAGACAGCTCCAAAAATATGTGGTCTTGGCAAGATAAGAGATGGGGCTTTAAAGGAAATGGTAAGACGTTCAAAGACCGAGAAGGATGATCTTCATCAGTGATTTGGATGAGGGGATAGATGGGGAACTCATCAAATTTGCAGATGACACGAAGCTGGCAGGAATAGCCAACACTCCAGAAGACAGGGTTAGGATACAGGAGGATCTGGACAGACTTGAACACTGGGCGCTATCTAACAAAATGAAATTCAGTGGTGAAAAAAGTAAGGTTCTACATTTAGGCAAGAAAAACCAAATGTACAGGTATAGTATAGGGGGTACCTTGCTCAATAGTAGCAACTGTGAGAGGGATCTCGGAGTCCTAGTGGACAACCCCTTAAATAGGAGCCAGCCGTGTGCTGCAGCTGCCAAAAAAGCCAACACAATGCTAGGCTGCATTAACAGAGGGATAGAATCAAGGTCACGTGAAGTGTTAATACCACTTTACAAGGCCTTGGTAAGGCCACACTTGGAATATGGCATCCAGTTTTGGTCATCATGCTGTAAAAAAGATGTTGAGACTCTAGAAAGAGTGCAGAGAAGAGCAACAAAGATGATTAGGGGACTGGAGGCTAAAGGAATGTTGCTAGAATTGAGTATGTCTAGTTTAATGAAGAGAAGGATGAGGGGTGATGAAGCAACCTGGAACTAAGGAGAAACTTCCTGACAGTTAAAACAATTAACCAGGGGAACAACCTGCCTCCAGAAGCTGTGAATGCTCCAACACTGGAAGTTTTTAAGAAGAGACTGGACAGCCATTTCCTGCCTGAGCAGGAAATTTCCTGCCTGAGCAGGGGGTTGGACTAGATGACCTCCAAGGTCTCTTCCAACTTTATTATTATTATTATTATTATTATTATTATTATTATTATTATTATTATTATTATTATTATTACATCATCATCATCATCATCATGAGGCTACCTGATTAGGGGGTCAGATTTTAGGGTAACCTCAGATACGGGAGGAGGAGGAGGAGGAGGAGGAGGAGGAGGAGGAGGAGGAGGAGGAGGAGGAGGAGGAGGAGGAGGAGGAGGAGGAGGAAGGAGGAGGGAAAGATGCTGGTTTCTCCAAGTTGTAGCAGGAGCTGCTTGCCTACAGCTGGCTATTTCAGCCATCTAATTCTGATTCTAAATGCTTCAGAACATAATTACGCTTTTGCTTTCAAAAACAGAAATCAAAACAACTGAAATAAAATTGAGAATGAAGAAAGAAAATAAATAACAAAGATTGAAATAATTACTAATCAAAAGAAAGTCCAGGACATGGACTGGTGGAGCTACCAGCCATCTCTACCCAGTAATTTTTCTCCATGTTGCTTCTGATGAGTTTTATATTCCTTACATTTCATCAATTTGAATCACCAAATTCAATTTGCATCCAAAGATAAACAGAGAGAGAATGGTAAATACTCTCATTTGACCTTGAAGTCAGAAAGAAGAAATCTTATCTTCCACAATTTTCAACTCCATCCAAACTATAATGAATAATCAAATTTGCCACATCAGTTCTCAACCTGTAATCATATTTTCCTTATTCCAAAAAT